TGAAGCCAGTGCCATGATAACCTTGCCCCAAGAGCGTAATAACTGAAAATAGTTACTAATCCACTAAGCAGAATTGGTCATTATAAAATCTATAGTAAAAAAAGTTCTAGTCTGTATGGGCAAACTACGAGGACAGAAGATAACTTAGATTGTCTGATTATAGACTGGAACATCTTCTCTAGACTTGTTCAGTATATAGGTTTTGCTGTTAGGATTTGAATCAGTGTCTCCACCCACCACTTAGCTTTTGTTTCCCCTTGCCATTTGGGCTTTCCTAATTATGTGGTCTGCAGTTTTTCTACCCACTTTGCACTGTGTCACCGTCATCCTTGCATGTTGGCAAACCCATTTTCCATGAAGGGCCAGAGATGAGCCCTCTTGGAGAAAGACTTTGGGGACTTTTTTTAAAGATTTATTTATTACATATACAGTGTTCTGCTTGCATGTATACTTGCAGGCCATGTGGTTGCTGGAAATTGAACTCAGGACCTCTGGAAGAGCAGCCAGTGTTCTTAACCTTTGAGCCATCTCTCCAGTCTGACTTTGGGGGACTCTTTCATCAAGTTATAATCATAGCAAGACATGGATCTTTTCCCCCAGGACATAGGAATACAGGTTAAGTTACTGGAAGGTCCGTTAGGATGATTACTTGTCATACTAGGGTTGACAGTTGGACCTCCACTTTCTTAGCTAAAATGTTTGAAAATGCCCTCTGAACTATAGGGTACTTGTGTAAGAAGGATGTGCTATGATTAGAGGACGAGATTCAGGTCAGGAATGTGGCATAACATTACAAGTAACAACAGAAAAAGGCCATGAATTTGAAAGCATGGAAAGACATGTGGAAAGTTTTGGAGGGAGGATAGGGAAGGAGGAAATGATGTAATTATCTAAAAAGGATGGCATAAACTACATTAAAGGGAACCAACATAGCAAAGGCAAGATTATAAATAACATCCAAAGACCTATTGGGGTCCAAGATAACTCAGAATTTGTCCTTAAGAAAGTCTAACGGACTTTGGGTTATTTTAACATTAATTTGATTGGAGAAAGTTTTTTTTTTTGTTGTTTGTTTTTAAACAAAAGCATTTTCAAGCATTCAATGTGAGCCCTGTGTTTGTGAGTTAAGGGTGCCACTGAGAGCCAGCCGAAATCGAAGGATGACAATGTGTGTGCTGGAAGATCTTACAGCCACAATTCTAAATCCCCCTTCAGTTTTTCCATCCAAATCTAAACATACTTTTGCTAATAAATATTTGCTTTCTCACTAAGAAGTTAACTTGTAGAAATGTACACATTTTACACTTTAACTTTGTAGCCATTTAAACTAACCCTTTTTCTTTTTTTCTTTTTTAATATTTATTTATTTACTTATTATGTATACGATATTCTGTCTGTATGTATTCCTGCAGGCCAGAAGAGGGCACCAGACTTCATTACAGATGGTTGTGAGCCACCATGTGGTTGCTGGGAATTGAACTCAGGACCTTTGGAAGAACAGGCAATGCTCTTAACCTCTGAGCCATCTCTCCAGCCCCCAAACTAACCCTTTTTCAATAAGGCACTATTGTTTAATAAAAAAGAAAAAGAAAAAAAAAAGTCTAACGGATATACAGTGCCACAAACTTAATGTCAAATGAACGTTTTTGAGACAGGGTATCACTGTAGCCCTGAGTGTCTTGGAACTCACTAGGTAGACCAGGCTGTTGTTTGCATCAAAGGCCTGAACCACCTCTCCTAGCTAATGACTAATTTTGTTGTAGTGGTGGTCAGGGATTGAACCTAGAGCCTTGTGCATCCTAGGTAAGTAAGTACTCTACTGTTACCTACAGCCTGTTTCTCAGTTATATGAGTCCGGGTTTATGCGTTGTGTGCTACCTCAGACCAGAAGAATGTTGGGTTTCCTGGAGCTGGAGTTACAGGTGGTTTGCGAACGAACTGTCTATCGAAGCTCTGGAACTGAATTGGGTCCTCTGGAAGAGCAGGAAGCTCTTAACTTCCAAGCCCTAAAATTTGGAGTTTGGAGAAATGGGGCATCAACAAAGGCACAAGGACTGAAAGCAAGGAGGGAAACCATGCTAAAATAAGAATCTCAGAGACTGGTGAAATGCAGGGTAACATTTGAGTGAAGTCACAGGGTGTGCTTGTTGAGCAGTGTGAGCTTAGGCATGCAAAGAAAGGAACCTGAGTTTGAAGAGGTCAGCAATCACCTAAAACACTTGATCCCCACAGTGTGCATTTTGTGCTTAAAAAATGTGGGAAATTAAGGTGATATGTAAGTAATGCAAGATTTAATATTAATTCACTTTTGAGCTAGGGGTATAGATTGCCTCGCCTATGTATGAGTTTGATACTCAGTATCACAAAAAAAGGCAATTCACTTTTTATCTCTTTTTTTCTTATTTTTTTGCATTTAAAATCTATTTTTAAAAATTTATGTGGGCAAATGTTTATATCTGCACATGTGTGCCTAATAGCATCAGAGATCATAAGAGAGTGTCATCCCTTAGAACTGGAGCCACAGATGATTGTGAGCTGCCAGGTCGGTGCTGAGAAACAGGTCCACTGCTCACAACTGAGTCATCTCTCTGGCCCTGAGAGACAGATATGCAAAGTGACAAGTGCAGGTGGAGGTCAGACAAATTTCAGGAGTCAAATTTTCTCATCCATGGAATCCTAGAAATCAAACTGGTGGTCAGTCTTGGTGGCGAACACGATCCACTGAGCCATCTCACCAGTCCCCTCTGCTCTCCCATCTTTTTTTGAGACAGGGTCTCATTATGTGGGCCGTCTGGCCTGGAACTCTGTGGATCATGTTAGTCTTGAACTCTAAGAGATCTGCTTGTCTCTATCTCTTTGGTGCTAGGATTAAAAGTATGTGCCATCATATCCAGTCCTTTGCCTTTAAGAAAAACCCAATCCAACTTCTATTATACAGCACAGTGTTGTCATTCATATACTCATTGTTCTGCACATATAATTTAAATTTACCCTTTGGGGTTGAATTTGAGGCAGTTTGTTGAGGCCAAAGTGGCCTCAACTTTGGTTTTCTTTTTGTCATTCTTTCAAGTGCTGAGCTTAGAGATAAGCACTACAATATATAGTTTTATAATTTCCTCTAACCTTCATAGAAAGAAGTAATGTGAGCAGGTGTGGTGGTGCATCTTTATTGCCAGCAGCAGAGGCAGGTGGAGCTCTTGAGTTTGAGGTTAACCTGGTCGGCAGAGCAAGTTCGATGGCTGTTTCACAGAAAAACCCTGTCTCCAATCAACCCTGCCCCAAAAGAAGTGGTGATGTGCATTATAGAAATTTAGAAAAATAAAAGCAAAAAGTTATTTTTGAGGCAAGTTCTCACTCTACCTCAGGCTGACTTCCAATTTGGGGTGATCCTCTTACTTCAGCTGTACAAGTGCTAGGATTATAGGTATATACTATCATGCCTAGCAAAAACAGTATCTCCAGTGGCCAGAAATCAGCTTTCTGGTCTTCTAGGTAGGTGTGTAAATGTGTCTCTTCATGTAGTATTTGTTTTTCTTGACCATGCTGAGAATTATTTATGCTAAATGAATGTTCTATAACTAAGCTGTACCATAGCCCCACATGTATTTATTTTGATTAATTTCCTTTTAATAATTAGTTTATTGACGTAGTATCCCATTTCATAACCCAGGCTGACTTTGAACTTGTTTTCCTTGACTCTTCCTCTATACTTTTGGGGGATTATAGGTATGTGGTACTCTTCTAGCCCACACGTGGCATTAAAAAAAAAATTCTTTTTGAGATACTCCTTTTTTTTGGACTCCTTCATTTGCGTTTGATAACTTTGGAAATGAAGAAAAGGAGTTAATAGCCAAGGTTCATGAGCATCTCCCAGAAGCTGGGAAAAGGCGAGGCAGAAAGGAGTTGCTTCTCTGCCAATCCCTTGATATTACAGTGTGAGATGTGTGAGACTTTTCTAACACGTGTTTTGTCTGAATTGTTACATCAACAAGAGTAAGCTAGTACCCTACCAACCAGCAGTGCACCAAGAAAATGGATAAAAGCTGTAAATTGGCAATTACTAAAGATGTGAGAATGGGTTGGGGATTTAGCAAGTGGTAGGGCACTTGCTGAACCCTGCAAGACCCTAAATTGAATCTCTAGGAAACAGACAGCAAACAAAAAGACAAATTACAAGTCTCAAATCAGGTCCAAAATGTGAAGACACTTGTTTTATATGGCCTTGGGGTCAAATTAGCTGATTCAAGGATAGAGAAAGGTGGGCTTGAGATGTAAAGATGAGGAGGAGTGGTTACAAAGATATAGAAGCTAAATAAACATGGTGGCACACATCTGGAGTCCCTGAACTTGGGAAGTTGAGGGAAGAGGATATTAAGTTCAGACTAATCTGGGCTATAGTAAGACCCTGTCTCAAAACAACAGAATTTATAGGTCAAGTAGATGAAGAGAAGGACTGTAATATGAACAACAGTTGTTTATATCATTGGTTCTTATGTGAATGGATGCATTTTTCTTTCATTTGGTATGAAGTGTTTTTCTCTCAAGAACAGCACCAGACTGTGTTCCTCTGGCCTTGCCGCTTTACCCTAGAGAATAGAGACTGTGGACTCCTAAAGCCTGGAAGAGAAAGTTAAAGCTGTAGAACTCTTATCTTTTCTCTAGAGCAATGGTTCTTAACCTTCCCAATGCTGTGACCCTTTAGTACAGTTCCTCGTGTTTTCTGGTACCCCCAACCAAAATTGCTATTGTTAGGAATCATAATGTAAATATCTGTTTTTTAATAGTCTTAGGTGACCCCGTGAAAAGACTGTTTAACTCCTCAGGTTGAAAACCACTGTTCTAGAACCTAATCAATAGGGGCTATATCAGCTCCAAAAGAATAGGGACCTGACATCTTTAGTAACCCAGACTTTAAAGAAGACATAAATGGGATTTGTCTAGTTGAACTACTTTATTAGGATTTTCTCTGTGTCTATTTTCATACCCACACCTGGTTTGGGTCACACTGTAGGATATTGGGTGCCAGTATTATCATACTTTACTGACGATTTAGTTGGCAAGGGTCTACGGACACCTAGAAATTTAGCTAACAACCTTTGAAAACCTCTGGTAGGGGGACTATGGGGTGTGGAGGATGGGAGCTGCTTCCCCTTGGGGGCCCAAGGGTAGTGGTTATGATGGGGAGGATTCTGGGTATCACCAGTTACCAGGCCTGCCCTTTGTTGATCCTGGGGACCAGCCGCATTTGGGAGAAGCTGCTGAGCAAGAACAGTGTGTGGAGAACACTGAGCTCTATACTGAGACTTTATAGGAAATCTGTGTCTAGGGGCCTCCGTTGGCTTGCAGGCCCGGGCAGGGTTTTTCCTTGGGACAGGGGAGGATCCCAATCTTACAGTCCCTCCATGTTTCTCTGCTTTGAATTTTCTGGGACTCCCTTTCTTTTGGGCTGAAAGTAGAACTGAAATCTTGTCCTGTCTCTTGCTAGAGACCAGAACAGCTATATTTGAGGGCTCCCCTATTCCTGAGCAGTTTTCATTAACCTTCATGTGAACATCCCCTGGGGATGGGGTCTGGCCCCTTACCTTCCATTTTATCCTCTTATTTTTTGAGACTCTTGTTCTGCTCTGCTAGAAGAGGAGTGAGGGCAGTGAGGGGCCTGGACAGGCTGAGGTTCTGTCCTTTGAACTTTTGGGGGACCACTACTTGAAGAGCAGGGGTGCAGACTGAGAGGATGAGTCTGATGTTGAGGACAAGAGGAGAGCCCCTAAGATTCTGGAGTTGAGTTAAGAGCTGGGGAGCTGCAAAGTGGGCGATGTGGGCCTGGGGGTTTGAAAGTGGGGCTCTGCTGTAGTTTCTTTAGTCTGAGCTTTAATTCTCTACTCCATTGCCAGGCATGGCTCACAGGGTGGTCACACACCTCTGAGACAGCCCCACTCTGGGAAGATGGGGCCTTTGCCTTGGCTTCTGGGGACATCTTTTCCTTCTGTAGGCCAGGCTGGATAGATTCAAACTTTAGGGCTTTAGCTTGAATGGGAGTCCACGATGTTGGTTGCAGAGGATTTACTACTGGAGGACTGGGGGGCTGGGAGGCCTGTCTTTCTTGTACATTTTTACATATAAACTCAGTGTTGGGGTGAACAGAAAGAAAACTGGGGTCTGGTAGCTCAGTGGCCCAGGAGTCCTTTCTCTGCTCTCCTGCTGACTCCATAGGCTTATAGTTGCACGGATCTCCAGAAAGCTCACTTATGTGAGACTTCAAAACAGACTGTGGAGATGGACTGGATTCCCAAACCGAGAATGCAGAAACATAACAGTTTTCGTTCTGCTTCATGTACCCTCCAGCAGGCTCAGATAGGACTCCTGAGGAGCTGACTCCAAGCAGGTGTTGGGATAAGCTTTGAGCTAGATGCTCAGAGGCCAAGAAGTTATTTTTTCTTTGAGTGTCCCCACAACACACTTTAGATTTAAACAGGTTCTCTATGGGGCTAACTCTGAGGGGTGACTGTACAAGAACTGGGGTTGGGTTGAGGTTCAGATATGAAGGCCCAGAAGACAAACATTTTCTTGTATGCTCAGGATCTTTCCATGTAGCTTCTGATCTAGAGAAGCCATGCACAGTATTGATTCTTTGTGGTTCTATAAAGGGGGCTAGAGGTATGTGGGCAGGACTTGGGGAGTCAGACACCCAGAGATTCTTTCTCTGCCCCTTTGTCTCCCATAAAACTTTAGACTCTGAAAAGACTCTTTGACCCATTATTGCAAAGTCTGGCAGAGAGGCAGAAGGAAGGCTTGGAGATGAAACTAGGTCTGCATAGACACAGAGATTTTCTGTACCGGGTCTACCCTTCAGTGGAGCTTCAGATCCCAGGGGGAGACATGCAGGGTTGGCTTCATAGAACCCCATGTTGAAGTTCAAAGTTGGGGTTTCAAAGGCCCAGAGATTGCCCAAGTTGTCTCTGTGTTGCCATTGAGGCTTGTATGTGGACAGATGCTCTAGGGGTCTGTGGTGTTCTGACAGGGTGTTTAGAGGAGGGCAGGGGACTGACACTGGAGACCTGGAAACAGGTGGGCTCTCTCTATATCCCATGCTTCCCCAGAAGTCCTTTGGTGCAGGACGTCTTCCTTTGGGGTTAACATTTTCTACTTCTGACAGAAAATCTGGTGGTTGACAGGAGACTGGCATTAGGGGATCAGAAGTTTGGGGATTGTCTTTATGTTGTATAATTCCCCACTGAGCTTCATGTCCAGGGGGAGTTCCTGGAGGGCCAGTTCCTTGAGGTTCTGTCATGGGTACTGTGAATTGGCAGGGGGCGGAGATTGGAAGCTTACAGATCTGAGGGTTCTTGTTTTGCCCTGTAGTTTCCCAGAGAGCTTTCAATCCAGACAGGTCTATAGGGTTGGTTCTCTGGTATTCTGTCAGGGAAGTTGGGTGTGGGCTTGCAGTTGGCATTGCAGATTCAGAGGTTTTGGGGTGCTCATGTTGTTTCATGGTTATCCATGGACTTCCTGAGGATTAGAAGGATACAACAGAAAGGCAGAAGGTGATTCTGGATTGTGTTGAAGGAGGCTGGGGTCCCCTGGCGTTTCCCTCCAGGCCTCAGATGAATATAAGAATGTGGAAGATCTGATTTTTTGGTGTTCAGGCTGTGAGTGTAGGACTTGATTCTCAGAGACACAAGGAACCTCTTTCTGCTGTGTAAACCACTGTGTGTTTACCTCAGTGTCAGAAAGGATTCCCTTGCAATCTATAGGCAAGGGCTTAATAGTGGAGGATACTGATGGGGTAAGAGGGGAAGGTGGAGATTGAACTAGTTGAGAACCAGCTGCCGTTCCTTCCAGATTTTTCTTAGTGTGGGCTTCAGGGGTAGGATAGTAAGTTGGGGAGTGATAATAGGGAAGCAACAAGTTGTACACAGGCAGGAAGGCAACCTTGTTGAAGAAGACAGAAGGACAAATAGACAGCTTTAGTGGAGAAGGGTCATCTGAGCTCAGGAAAATAGTCTCCAAGGACTCACTGTGTAGCGAGGGAAGACCCCAGAAGAGCTGGCCTTTTCTCTGCTGTAGGGAATTTCCTGAAGCTATCTTGTTCCTCACAGGTAGGGTGGTCAGGATCTGGAAGGTAGGGAAGGATCTGGAAGGGCTTGAAGGTTGCATGAGTACTTGTTCTCTTAACTCTGTGGCCTCGGGGAGTCCCTCAGAACTACAGGATGGCTGGGGTGGAGCTGCAGTGAGTTCATTTCCAGTGCGAGTGTTTTGGGAAGGAGAATATGATTTTAGTGGATCCAGAGATAATGATTCTTCTGCCTTCTCTTCCCCATATTCCTCCTCCTCCTCTGACTTTTGCTTCCACAGGCAGTCAAGGAAGGCTAAATGGTGCAGAAGCTGTAGTCCCTAGGGAATAGAGCATACTATTAGGTGTGACATCTCAGAGACATGTGATGTATCATACATTCACTAGCTCTATGTGCAGGCTCACCTGCCTCACAGCTCTGGTCAGTGGTCACTTATCCTGCTCTTCATCCATTGGTAATGTCAGAACCCAGTTCACATTTAGAGTCAGCATTTCTCCATGTCAGGGTCTATGATTAGTCTTTCAAATCGTGTCAATGAACACTCACCCAGCCACTAATCTGTGGCTTATAATCACATATCTGGGACCACATCCATGACATTGACCCTCCATTTTGATCTCACATGTCATTTCAATAGTTATTCATACATATCCACATCAGTGGGCACCTACCTTGCCTTGCCTCATGTCTCCAGAGTACCAGGGCTGAAGCTGTTGCCATTTCCTGAGCTGCCGCCATCTTTGGATCTGCCAAACTGTAAACAAGAATAATATCACCAGACTCCCTGGGCTTTGAAGGCAGATGCTGCTGTGGCAGTGTCTGCAGGCCAGAGCCTGGGTCAGCTGGCCTTGGAGAAGCCCCATGTCTCCCTTAGCCTGAAACTGGTCTTCTAGCAGCCATTCCATTTTCTTCAACTTAGTGGCAGTTTCTTGAGGTCATCACTACATCATAGAACACAGAATTCCCAACCCCCACATGGATCCCAGAGCCGTGTCCTGGAGCTTAGGGCCAAAATGTTACCTCTATCAGAGAGTGAAATTTCAGTGCTGCCCTTGTCTTGATTGCCAGGATCAGAACTGTCCATGCTCTAGGACATGCATTTTAACATTGAACTATGCCATCCAAACTCTACTGTGAAACCTCAGTCTAACAATTTAGTACCTCAGGGTTTTTGTTCATTTGTTGTTTTGTTTTGTTTTATTTTGAGACAGGGTCTCTCTTCAAAGTTCTTACTGTCCTGGAACTCACTTTGTAGACCAGACTGGCCTTGAACTCACAGAGGTCTACCTGCCTCTGCCTCCCAAGAGCTGGGATTAAAAGTGTGGGCAACCACTGCTTTTGTGTGTTTAAATTTTATTCCTAGCACAAATTGGTTTTCTTTCTTTTTTTTTTAACAAAGTGTCATTTCTTTTTTTTAATTAATTAATTTATTATGTATACAATATTCTGTCTGTGTGTATGTCTACAGGCCAGAAGAGGGCACCAGATCTCATTACAGATGGTTGTGAGCCACCATGTGGTTGCTGGGAATTGAAGTCAGGACCTTTGGAAGAACAGGCAATGCTCTTAACCACTGAGCCATCTCTCCAGCCCCCACAAATTGGTTTTCTTATGGCATTTTCATAATACTAATTTTGGTCGTTTCTCTGCCAACCCTTTCCTTTTTGCAGTCTGGCCTTGAACTCATAGAGATCTGCCTGCCTCAGCCTTCTGAGTGCTGGGATTAAAGAAAGGTGTGTGCGGCCATGCCTGTCCTTAGTTACAATTTTTATTTCTGGTATGAAATACTATCACTCCCCCCCTGCCCAAAATAAAACCCCCAGACCTAAAAACCAAAAAGCAAAACATAATAAAACAAACAACTTGGGGAAAAGGTTCATTTCAGCTTATACTTCCGCATCGTAGTTCATCACTGAGGAAGTTAGGGCAAGAAGGAACTCAAGGCAGAACCTGGAGGCAGGAACTGATGCAGAAGCCATGGAAGAGCACTGTTTACTGGCTTGTTCCTCATGACTTGCTCAGCCTGATTTCTTTTTTCTTTTTTTTTTTGGATTTTTCGAAACAGGGTTTCTCCGTAGTTTTTGGTTCCTGTCCTGAAACTAACTCTTGTAGACCAGGCTGGCCTCGAACTCACAGAGATCCGCCTGTCTCTGCCTCCCCAGTGCTGGGATTAAAGGCGTGTGCCACTACCACCCGGCTGATAGCTCTATTTTTTAAAAAATATTTATTTATTATGTATACAGTGCTCTGCCTGCATGTATGCTGCAGGCCAGAAGAGGGCAGCAGATCTCACCACGTACTGCTGTGAGCCACCATGTGAGCCGCTCAGGACCTCTGGATGAGCAGCCAGTGCTCTTAATGGCTGAGCCATCTCTCCAGCCTCCATGATAGCTCTATTTTTAATTTTAGTTGTTTTGAGAAACCCCCACAGTGATTTCTATGGCACCAGTTTACACTCTCACCAACAGTACGTAAGTGTGGGGACATAGAATTCTGTGATTTTCCCATTCATCAACTCTTTCCCACTGCACACTTGAGTTTACATTGGCATGGTCTCCCTTTGTAGTGGTGGCTGTTTTGGAACTCATTGTATACCCCAGGTTGGCCTCAAATCATGGCAATCCTCCTGCTTCAGTCTCTTGAGTACTTGGATTACAGGACTGAAACATCATTCCTGGGTTTTTGTTTTTTACATTTTTTCCAAGATAGGCTCTTACCATGTAGTCCTGGCTGGCCTAGAATTTGCTGTATAAACCAGACTGACCTAGAACCCATAAAGATCGACCTGCTTCTGCCTTTCAGGGTTAGGGTTAAAGGTTTGCATATATGTTTTAAAGACATGGTCTCACCGTCGTGTGGATTTGCTCAAACTGTTGAACTGAAGTAGTCCTCCTTCCTCAGCCTCTTTAGTAGCTGGGACTATAGGCTTGAAGAGTAAATGTGTAGAGAGGTTCAACATCTTCAAAATTTGAATTTTAGGAAAAAACACACAAAATCATTAATTAAATTAGCAACCACATTATCCATACATAGTGAATGTCTATAGTTTACCTAAATCAAAGAGAATGACAATTGGTGCCAAGCCCTTCTTTTATTTCTTTTTGTTTTGCTTTTTACCATAAAGTTTAATTACTGTTCAGTAAAAAAAATGATGGACAATTTTCTCTGAAAAATTGTGTTGGTTTTGTGTGAATTGTGGTAATTTGGGAGTGGTGAGACCACTGGTAAGTTAAGTCACCCTGCTTTCTATTCTGAAAATGACAGAAAGTCTTGTTACAGTCTGTAAAGATATATGTGCCCTCAACTGGCAGACAGTAAGTGCAAAACAAAGCTGTAAACCTAAGGGCATGCAAAGAGTGCTAAGGGGAGATAAATCTCAGAAGTGCCCAAAGTGGCAACAAGGCATGATTGGCTCGAATAGGAAGACCTTTAGACACCTTTGTCTTTTGCTCCATGTGTAAGAATGCGAATGAATGTAGTAGCTGGAATCCCCATTTTGTCAATTTGTGCTTCCATGTACTGTTGATTCAATTTGCTCATCTGCAATTGATTATATGTTTGTCATCAGATCGGGTAATCCTTCTGAATGGTGCAAATTCTTCTTCCTCTTCCTCTGTTCCAGGCTTTTTCTTTTGGGCCACCAACCAGCTCCCAAATCATGTTGTGGAGACTTACTATTAGTTTTGAATGCTCAGCCTTAGTCTTTCCTGGCTAATCTTTTACCTTAAATTAACCTGTTTCTCTTCAGCTACTTTTTGCCTCAGGACTTTTTACTTTCTTTCTGTATATCTTACTTTTAATGCTCCTCATGTCTGACTGCTCTCTCCCCCTCCCCTCTCTCCTCCTGTTCTTCCCCTGAGCCTAGATCCCTCCTATTTATCCTCTCTGCCTGCCAGCCCTGTCTGTCTTTCTCCTGCCTAGTGATTGACCGTTCAGCGTTTTTTTTTAGATGAATCAGGTGCCTTAGGCAGGCAAGGTGAAACAAATACAACACATCTGTACAACATTAAACAAATGCAGCATAAACAAACGTCACACACCTTCATATAGTTAAAGTGATATTCTGCAGCATAAACAAATGTAACACATCTTTGCCTAGTTAAATTACTATTCCACAACATTCCTCTTCATTTTATTTTATGTGTATGGATGTTTTACCTGCATGTATGTTTTTGCATCACCTGCCTTCCTGATATCCAAAGAGGTCAGAAAGGGGGTCGGATCCTCTGGAACTGGAGTTAGAGATATGGTTGTGGGGAGTTGATCCTGGGTCCTCTGGAAGAGCAGCCATTACTCTTAGCTGTGGAATCGTCACTCTAACTCCCACCAATCACTTTTTCTTTTCATTTTCAAGACAGGGTTTCTCTGTGTAGCCCTGACTGCTCTGGAACTCACTTTGTAGACCAGGCTGGCCTCAAACTCACGGAGATCTGCCTGCCTCTGCCTCCCACGTGCTGTGATTAAAGGCATTGCCTGATTCACCAGTCACTTCTTTATGAAAGCAAGCTAAAGCATTTCTGGTTTCATTTCCAGGATTTGTACTATTTAGCTTTTCAACAAACATGCTGAGAAAAATGGTGAAATCAGTGGGGCTATATTCATTCACCACAACATCCAGATATTTATCTGCTGAGTTTTTCTCCGGTGAGGGCAGAATATTGTGTGGATCTTCTCTGTCAATGAAACCATCTGTTCTGGTTGTGTTGAAAAGCTTTTGGAATTCCTGGATCCATAACTGTTCACATATGGCAGACATACCAGATGTTGCCCTCTGAGGGGCTTGTTGGTGATCTTGGTCTTGGTCCTTTTTATTACTAAAGGTCTATTTGCTCAGAGCTCTCAAGGGTTAACGAAATTCTCTCTTTTCATAGCCCACAGTCTTTGAGAATGTTCATTGCTAGAGCTCATTTCTGCAACAAAACACTTCACCATGAGGAAACTAAAGGAAGAAACCAGCATTTGGAATACCAGCTTTCTGGTTCTGCTTTGCTCTGAAAATGGAAGAACCATGTATTGCTGGCAAATGCCCACCAGGTGGCAATGTGATACAGTAGAACAAATGTCCCAAGACCTCGGCTTTCTGAGTCTTGATTTTGGACAAATTATTTAACTTCCTGCGGCTCAGATTCCTCCTTGAGATACTCTTGACCTGTATCCCTTACAACATGCTTATGAAGAGCGTATGGTATGGTGGACAAGAAAGCACTTTAAAATGTACGGTGTTCTTGTGCCAGCTCATGAGTTGTCATTGGCCACTCAAGTGCCCCAGAGCGTCCCACAAAAGACTGTTTTCGGCAGCTTCTGTATTACTTTTGCTTGCTCCTTCTCCATCACATGTGACCGAGCCTTAGAAAGTTTACCAGAATACAGCTCGTGAGACTCAGGACTTGCTTGCTCTTGTGGTGGGCCAGGGTGGGGATGAAGGGTAGTATTCTTTAATCTCTTCTGTACCTTTTTTTCCTAGCATGACCCATGCCAGTCTAGAGCCCTAGTGCAGGTTGGATTGAGGTCAGGTGAGTAAGTCGGAGAATTTATGAAAGAAATATATGGCACAAAGAGTAAAAGAAGAGTCATAAATTAGTCTTCTATCCAAATTTGTATTAGTTTTCTTACTGCTAATTTTGTTTCCTGTTTGCCGTGCAGTCTGGCACCACTATTCACAGCTGTAGTGCCCTGGGTGCCTTGGAACTGAACTCAGAACACACCCCTAGGCGGTTATTTTCCAGCAAAGAGCCTCTTCAGTGGCGTTCTTAGTTCAGGATCTCTCTCTCTCCAAATGAACTTTGTTTTCACAAGATAGGATCCTCAAAGGCTGGGATTCTGCCCTTAAGGCTATTTTCTCATTATCTCCATACAGAGCATAAGTTTGTTCATCTTAATATTTTATTATTCCATTTTCATGTGTGTGTGTGTATGCCTGTTTTTGCATATGTGTAGGTCCATGTGTATGTGTGTGTGCATATACACATGCTTTTTTGAGCATAAAGTAGTATTTTTGCAGTGTATCTCCATCAACTCATATTTATAAATACTGATTAATGCAGGAATCTGATTTCTAATTATTTCTTAAATTTATTTTTACGTGTTTGGGTGTTTTACCTGCATGTGTGTGCAGTGCCCAAGAGAGCTGTAGAGGGTGTTGATTCTCCTGGGACTGGAGTTGCAGGTTTGTGAGCTGTCATGTGGAGTAAGATAAAAAAAAATACAAATAAAAATATTTGTATCTACTTTTTATTTTTATCTGTGTAATTCCTTTGACTAGTTCTCTTCATTTCACGTAGATCTGAGTTACTTCTTAGTTTCCTTTATGTCAACCTGAAGGGCCCTTGAGGAATTTTCGGACATATTTACTGGTGAGTAATTTTCTCAGTATTTACCTAATCTTGATTTCTCCTTCAGGGTTTTGTTTGAGACAGAGTCTCACTATGTAGCTCTGGCTGTCCTGGAACTCACTAAATAGACCAGACTGGCTTTAAACATCCGAATACCCACCTGCCCCTCCTGCTGAGCTCTGGGACAAAGGTGTTATTTTGTTAGGGTCTGGCTTTAGCTTTACCACCCTTCAAGTTTCTCTCAGACTTGCTGTCTCTAGTCTTTCTGCTGTGGTTTATTCATTGTGGGGATGAAAGCAGTGACCCCCATTCCCTGTCTCCTTCATTTTTGATAGGTAGTTTTTCTGGGTATAGAATTTCCCTCCAACACTCAGATTTTATCATATGTGCTTTCTGATTTGAACGACTTCTGATTATAATCAGCTCCAAGCCTTACTGAAGCTGGATGCAATCTGTCCAGCTTTGTGTCTTTTCATTGTCCCCACACCCACCTGGGATTACTCTTTTATTGTGCTGGAATTGAACAAGGCCTTTCACATGCTAGGCAAGTTCTCACCAATGGTCTCCATTACTGAGCTTTTTGGGTATACATAATAATAAGTTCTCACATCAAATTTGGAGAATTTTCAGCCATTTCATCTTCCTCTTTCTTCTCCTCCTTTTCTTACCTTCCTTCTAGTGCTAGGGAATCTAACCCAAGACTTTTGCACATTTCTTACTTTCTCTCCTCTGTTTCTAGAACTTCTATTATTTACATTTTGCTTGGTGGTGTTTCATGGGTCAAAGGTTTTCTCCCCCTTTCTTTATTATTTTCTCTCTCTCTCTCTCTTTATTTATTTATTATGTATATAACATTCTGCCTCCATGTATGCCCACACCACCAGAAGAGGGCACCAGATCTCATTACAAATGGTTACGAGCCACCATGTGGTTGCTGGGAATTGAACTCAGGACCTCAGGAACAGCAGCCTGTGCTCTTAACCACTGAGCCATCTCTCCAGCCCCCTCTCTCTATTCTTCAAATTGAATAATTTCATTGACCTATTTTTTTTTTTCCTGAGACAGGGTTTCTCTATGCAACAGCACTGGCTGACCTGGAACTCGCTTTGTAGACCAGGCTGTTTTCAAACTCACAGAGATCCACCTGCCTTTGCCTCCCAAGTGCTGGGGTTAAAGGAGTGAGCCACCACACCCGACTCATTGACTTATCTTTAAGTTTACTGGCTTTTGTCTGTCTTCCTAATCTGTTAATATGCCTATCAAAAATTTCATTTCAGATATTGTATTTTTCAACTCCAAAATTTCAATCTGTTGACTTAAAAACGTCTCTCTGTATTTTCCTTTCTTCTTTGTGTGTGTGTGAGTTTTTTTTTTTTGAGACAGTTTCTCTGTGTAGCCTTGGCTGTGTATTTTACTTTCTTCTATGCATGAATGTTTTGCTTGAATGTATGACTGTGCACCAATCCATGCAGTGGCTTAAGGAAGCCAGAAGAGGGCATACGCTCACCCAACTGTGAGCCAGTTGTGAGAGGGCGCTCTATAACAGACTGCGGCTGTGGAGGGGCAGTGCTCAGGAGCAGAAAGCTAGAGCACATCACAGAGAGCAGCAGCTTTTCAGTTTCCTCTTTAGAAGGATATTGGAGATTTGGAAATTCGCTCGTAATCCAAAGAGGCTCAGGAGAAGTGAGGTCCAAGTCACAGTCAGAGATCCTGACATCCAGTGAGCTGAGAGGTGTCCAGAAACTAATGTTTGAGTGACTGAGTGACTCCAATGGCTAAGATGGTTCACGATCAGGGTAGCCGAGTCTAAAGACATCTTATTGTCATACAAAAATGGAAAAATGATTGCCATAGTTGTTATTACAGAAACACACACACACACACACACACACACACACACACACACACAATCACTCACATACACTAAAAACTTAAATCCAATAAAGATCCACCCAAGAAACACTCCCTAGTTTCTTTATTTATAAAGTTCTACCCTGCATTCCCCTTCCTTTCTCCTTCCTCCTCTTTCTAGTGTGTGTGTGATATGCATTTCAACAGAAGCTTATCTTGCCTCAGGTAGCCTGTTTTCTAGGATCTCAGGGTCCCGTGGTCCCAGAAGAGTGTGTTCAGTGAAAATATGAAGATAGGACAATTTCTTAGGTCCTGTGTGTTCACAGAAGGGCCGGAAGGAGAATTCTGGTCCAGGACATTCAGATCCTCAAGTTTTAGGTCTCAGGGAAGACACAAGATAATATTTAGCCTCAAGTGAGTGAGAACACTTTAGAATTCCCAATGAAGGAGAGAATGAAGTAGAATTACGCAGAGTGGGGTCCACCCTGCCCATAGCAGACATCTTTGTGATCCAGAACCCCTGGTTTGGGGAGTAGTAGAAGAGCCTCCCACAGGAAGTGGGAGGACAGGAGCCTTTGTCAGTGTTTCTGCACAGGATGAAGAAAGGTCAGAAAGGTTCCAAGAATCCCAGTGTCCACCTGTGGGGGGCCAGGCCCAGCAGAAGGCAGCTATCCTTGTGCTACTGGGGAAGTGGTCTCAAGACTGTCTTGGGCCTCTCTCTAGCAGTGTGACTGGCATACTTGAAGGTAGCCATTCCTGTAACCACAGGGTTCGTTCCTACCCAGACCCAAGGGGAAAAGGCAGTGGCCTTTTTGTAGTATTAACCAGACTCTGAGATTCAGGGTTGTCTAGCAGGGACAGGCAAGTCAGGCACCAGGACAGACATCCTCAGAAAATGGTGTGATTCAAGGAGTAGCAACTCTGGTTAGTGCCCTTCGCAGAACCCAGATCCCCAGCCAGTCCTGCCAGCATGCTCTAGCTACATTCTTTGTACCCAAACTTTAAAAAAAATTAGTTTTATTATTTTTAATTAATTGTGCATGTGAATGAATGCAGGTTCCCGAGGAGACCAGGGTTGTCAGGTTCCCCTGGGCTACTGTGAGCTACTTGATGTGTGTCCTGGGAACTGAACTTGGCTCCTCTGTAAGAACAGGAAGTGCTCTTAGCCGTTGAGCCATCTCTCCAGCCCACTTGGTGGCCAAACTGTCTTTGGGAGTGTGCCTGTTCTCGTCAGTCAGAAAGTCCTCCATTCCCTCCAAGGAATAAAATGTCTCTAATTCAAAGAGAACGTTCAGACAAGTCTGTTAGCTCTCATGTTGACACAGCTTCTGAAGAGAACAGGCTCTGTTTCTCACAGCCAAGGTCATCTTCTCCACAGACAGCTGGACTGTGGCTTCTAGCTTTGTTGTTTGGGGTATATATTCCAGAACTCCAAAAAGTCAGAGCTTACAGGAAGAAGGGGTCGGCTTCGGCTTAGACTGAGGTTGTTTGGTTTTTCTGGGAGTGATCAGGTCTCTGGAAGGAGTCTGACAGTGCCCCTGCATTCCTGCCTGCACCCCGGGGGCCCTGCTCCTGTTCAGAGGCCATATTTTTAAAATACTTTATTTTTTTCATAATACTGTCATTACAAAAAAATACAAAAAACTACTATAAAAACATTCAGGGGCTTGTCAAAGTGAGAAAACCTAAAGACCCCACCCCAGGACCAGCTGAAGCAGTCTTCTCCCATCTCCTTCACTATTAGACTTTTATACAACTGTGGGAGTGAGGTGGGGGTCACACAGGTAGAGAGGGGCTGGAAATCTCCGACAAGCCTCCAGAAAGGTAAGAAATAAGTAGCTTCACATATCACAAAAGTGGGGTTTGGAAGTTTGGGGTGGCTAGACCCTGAGTTCAGAGATGTGGGGAGGAACCTATAATCCTGAATCTCTTGGTGGGGAGTAGCTGCCACCTGACCCCAAAGCCCTTTCCTTCCTGACCGTGGCTGGGAGATGGGTCCTGCCCCACCTCTTAGCTGTAATGCTTCAGCCCCTCTTTTCTCTATTCTTGAACACTCCTCAGAGCAGCGGGGGAGCGGACCCTCCAACTTGGTGGGTGTAGGGCAGGGCAGCTGTTGGGGAGGCTCCTGAGTGGTGGTTCACCTCCCTGCCCCAAATGAAAAAGTGTCTCGTGCTCAATGAATGGCCTTGTTCATAGGTAACGACCTCTCCTTCCTATGTCCTCTCCTCTTGTCTCCCAGAGAGACACAGACCACTTCAGGCAAGTGCTTCGTGTGCATGAATACTTGTGGGTTAGTCTTGGACACTACAGACCTGGGGGGGGGGGTCCTTTCTGTCCTCTTTCTCCAGAAACAGGAGGACGCCAAAGGGAAGGGAGAGGAAAGGGTTAGCAAGGCTGAGAGAGGGGAGGAGGGCATGCTATTTACAGGCATGGACAAGGACTCTAGATCTTCAAGTAGCACTCAAGTCACTCTCCAGCCCCTGGAGTGGGGACTGGATTCAAAGCTAGTGACAGAAAATTGACCCCTGGCCTGGGCTAGCTCTCCCCACCTCCCTCCCATTCCCCCAAAGCAGCCCAGCTCTGAAAGGGGTTGGGGACAGGAACGTTTTCCTGAAAATCAGTGGCTTTTTTGTTTGAGTTTTAGAAAAGTGCCAGTGTCCAGTGGACATCCAGCCGGGTCCCCATGAGATGGGGTGAGTGTGAGGGTATTGCTGTGGTAGGCTCCAGACTGGCCGGGGGCAGAGCCTAGGAGCAGGGTAGGTGCTGCTTAAGGATCTGCCGGGTCTGTGGTGTTAATCTGTCTGGGAATCGAACTTTGAACTCAACAATAAGGTCTCCCCGCTGAGTGGGCACCTTGGGGAAGGGGAGGCCCTCCCCACGGAGTCTCTTCACGGTGCCTGGCTTGATTACATCATTGCAGGGCAAAGGGATCACTCGGCCATCAATGGTGGGAATGTTCACAGTGCAGCCACACAGCGCCTGGGGAAAACAAGGCAGAGAGTGAGGCAAAGGGAGGCGGAGAGTGGGGAGAAAGGAAGAAGATGTACACAGGGTGTGGGAGATGTGAGAAAGGAAAGAGACACTTCCTATCAGACAGACAGACAGACAGACACACACGCGCGCGCGTCCCACCTCCTTGAGGCTGATCAGCGCACTGTAGAGCACATTGGTGCCATCTCGGCGGAAGTGTGCATGAGGCTTGTCTTTGAGCACGAAGACAATGTCGGCTGGGATGTTGTCAGGTGTGGCATCACCCTCTTTGGGGAAGGTGATCTTGGTACCTTCCTTCCAGCCACGCTTGATGACGATGTGCAGGATTTTGTCCTCAGTGCGCACAGTTCGCCCATCAGGGTTAAGGCGCCGTCTTGTGATCTTCATACGCTTAGTGGAGCCATGGTAGATCTCCTCCAGGGACACCCGAAGCTCATGCACCACAGGGGGGTCCTGCACCTTGCGCCGGGGGTACAGCTGTTCTGGAGCTCGCCTTGGACCCCTACTCAGCCCATTGAAGCCAAAGCGGCCAAAGGCACCAAATGGGTCCTCATCTTCATCCACATCCATGTCATCTGGGTCAAAGCCACTGAAGGGCCGAGTGGAGCGGCTGCTGGCAAAGAAGATATCGAAGGGGTTGGAGCCACCAAAGAAGGAAGCAAAGGTGGCATGAGGGTCCCCATGAAAGGTGTAGTGAAAGGAGCCACCGGAGCCACCTGACGTACCACCGCCGGTCTTGAGGCCTAAAGGGGAGGAGAAATTAGGGGCAGTGTGGCCCATCCTGGCCCCATCCCAGTCTTTCCCCTGCCTGCTAAGCTGCCAGTTCATGGACCTAGAGAAAGAAGCAATCTTTAACTCCCGCAGAGAGGTTAACAGTATAAAACGTGTTGGACAAAATTCATATCCACTCAACTACATATTTAGGAGCAGATATCTGGGTATGGTGGTGCATATCTGTAACCTCAATATTCAAAAGACTGGGTAGGGGGACTGAGAGTTTCAGGTCAGTCTGGGTTGTGCGGTGAGACCTGGTCTCAAAACACAAACCCAGGCAACCTGCATCTTGAGATTCCATCAGGCTAGTTAGCCAGTGAGTTGAAAAGTTAGGACTAGGGGACTTAGGAGATAGCCTCTGTTATGTAATCCTTCCCACTTACTCAGTCCAAACATGCCTCATAAAAGCTTGGGCAGCTGGCCTCATATCACATGACAGACTATACCTGACTCCCAAATCCCTGTTTACTTCCCAAGACACACAGAGCTAGAAACAAGCAGACAGGGTTTGACCACAGAGGGGCTAGTAAGTGACCTATCCTAAATGACGCATGGACACAAGCCAGGAGGAACCCTGCTTTGGTTCCTCTTCATTCTTCCCTAACTTTTGCTCCAACAGGAAAGCAAGAGGTCTCAAAAAACAAGGGAGCTCATTGACATGGAAATGGAAAACAATTTTTCTAGAAAAAACTCAATTACTTTCTTCCCATACTCTGGTCCCATGACACACAGCTTCAGAGACTGTCATTCACATATTGTACAGACATAGGCGCCAAAGGACCAGCTTCCCCAGAGTGACACCACACCAGCCCTGCATCTCACAGCTAATGTGGAGCAACCACCACACAGTGGGCTGACCGCAGATGCTCTCTGGAGTTGGGTCTTGTCTCAGGGACTCGGATTTCTGGATGGTATTTTTATGGTAGTGGGAAGTATGGGGGAGAGGATTAACACAGACTGATTCAGGGCTGGGGCCCCTCTCATTGAGACTTATTTATTTATTTAGTGCTTCTGGGATGGATCCTAGGGCTTCGTGTACTGTGCTCTAGCACTAGACTGTATTCTTAGCCCTCTTTGAGCCTTTTATCTAAAATTTCAGCCGGGCGGTGGTGGCGCACGCCTTTAATCCCAGCACTCGGGAGGCAGAGGCAGGTGGATCTCTGTGAGTTCGAGACCAGCCTGGTCTACAAGAGCTAGTTCCAGGATAGGCTCCAAAACCACAGAGAAACCCTGTCTCGAAAAACCAAAAAAAAAAAAAAAAATTTCAATTGGCCTTGGGAACCTGGGCCTAAGCTATCCTCTTATTTCATGGGACCACGAGGACGGGTTTGGGTTTGATTAGAGAGGGCAAGCAAGCAAATAGCAGGCATTCAGGGGCTTGTGGCTACTGCCTCTGAACCTCTCACCTAAGACTTGGGGTCTGTTCTTCTGTTAAAGGCTAGCTACGAAGCAAGTTTACGAAGCTAGGCAGAGCTTGCTGAGAGAGCAGGAGGCTGGACTGAGAACAAGAGGTGGGTAATTCTCACTGTGGGGACTCTACCACACCACCCCACTTCAAAGAGAACAACTTGTCCCAAGCCAGAGCTGCACACACACTCTGTGCACAATTGTTCTGGCTGGCTGGTGAGGAAGAGGCAGAGTAGACAGAAATAGACCTGACTTTCCAAGGCAGTCTCTCCCTCCTCCAACCCAGAGGTCTTCCCTGGGCCACAGAGATCTACACCAGAACCTAGGGGCTCTGCCTAGGGTTCGAGTCTGGAGGTTTCCTTCACTTGGGCTTGGGCTTGTATGTGGTGGGGGAGGAAGTTTCTCAGTAGCTTCTCCAGCTCCTTCTCTTAACAAAGGTTAGGTTAAGTGCAGGATTAAATGCAATCCCGAGACAGGCCACGTGAGGCGTGGCGCCTGCACTGCCTGTCTTCTTTCCCCACTCGCATCCTTCCCATCCTCCCTCCCTAGTTGGGAGAATGCTGGGGATTCAAGCAGGTGCCTGATCTCTCTGAGAATTGGCAAGTCTAGGAATGATCAGGGGAAAATGGAATAAGCTCACAGCATGGAGACTAAAAAGAGGGGGCTGGGAAGACAGGGCAAATGGAGGAAAGCGGCAGAGACGAACACGACACAAAATGAAGAGGGGACGGAAGGAGCATGCTCTTGAGCCCCTGCCTTTAGTCAGGCATGGTACATGCCATTAGCTGGTCTCATTCTAAGCACACGCTGGGGAAGGTGAAGAGGCGGACAGTGTGAGAGAATGATGCATGTCGTTAGGAGGAAGGACAGGTCTTCCCAGGAAGGAGAGTCCTCAGCTGTGACAATGTCTCTTAATATAGCCTGACAGGTGCCTGTGGCTGGCGGGTGGCAGGCGGGCCCTGAGGGGCAGGCCCAGAATTAGCAGCTACATCATGCCCGTGGGATGTGCTGGGAGGAGCCACGCTCTTAGAGGCTTTATTTGGGCCTTTCCTGCTGTCCGCCCTGTGCATGTCCACCAGCTGCCCTAGGGATGGGGTAAGATGCCAGCAACATCTCCCCTTCCACTCCTGGATCCCTGCCACTTCCTCTGGGAGACAAATCTGTGCTGCTGGCCCGAAGTGGCCAAGGGTTGGGGGATGGTGGCCACAACCATTTCCACTCAGAACTCTAGTGGTTAATTCCCTGGCTGTTCAAGGGCCAGACTTTTATGCTGATGAATGTAAATGCCGTCCTCAGAGAGTCACGGCTGGCTCTCACCAACCTTTCAGATCAGCCAATGAAGCAGCGGGGACTTCAGGCAGGACTAATAAGGCTGGGAAGGAAAGAAGGTAGGAGGAGAGGGGGAGGAGGCCTCTGGCTCAGACTCCAGCCTCTCTAGGGCTAGAAGGGGACAAGGGAGGGGGAAGAGATAGATGGGGAGGAGAGTGAGCAGGGACCAGGTAGTGAGTGAGTGGGCTGTGCTCTAAGGAAACTTGCCTTCTTCACCACACTAGGAGAGCTGGCTCACCCAGGGGTCCAGGTTTGGGCCGCTGTACACCTTCTTACCTTCCTCCCCATACTGGTCATACAGGCTCCGTTTCTTAGGGTCACTCAGCACGTCATAGGCCTCAGCAATCTCCTTAAACTTCTCCTCAGCATTGGGCTCTTTGTTCTTGTCTGGGTGGTATTTCAAGGCCATCTTCCGATAGGCTTTCTTGATCTCATCCTCATTGGCCCCTGACGGGATTCCGAGAATCTTGTAATAATCTTTTCCCATCACAGCCACTGGACCGGTGCTGGGCTCCTTGTTTCTGAAAGAACCCAAGTCCAGTCTTTGGTACCCTGTTCTCTACAGTCCAGCCCCACTCCTGATGATCCTGCAATCCTTAAAATGACTCCCTGTGTGACCTTCAATAGGTCATGCCTGTCCTCTGGGCCTCTCTCTCCCCATCTGTACAATGAAAGTCTTGGGCTAGATGATGCCTTCCAGCTCTGACATGCTAGGATTCTGTGATCCTTTGTGGTCCACTTCTTGGGGCCAGCCTGAGGACCCCTGGGAGGCCCTTCTGAGTGAGATGGCTCTGTAGACTGACAGACTCACAGAAGCTGGCGAAGGTCAGAGGACTGAGTGAGGTCACCTGAACTTCGTAGTCTTCCTACGCCACACCTCAGGCATGGTGCCCGGACTGAGGACAGCTAGGGTTAGTAGCCCAGGACGGGGACCAGGCTCCAGTCTTTGGCCAAGTTGAACCAGAGTATGGGAGTTTGGAGTCTTTTCTGCCACTGGGGACCCTAGATCTCTCTACCCTTTCTCTCCAGACTATACTAAGGTACACGTGTAACTCAGATCACAGGATGACTCACAGCCTTGGAACCTGCTGTTTCTAACACCCTCATTAGCAAGGGGGGGCACTGTCTATCCCTCGTTTCCCGGCATCTACGCCCTGACGTGGGAATACATGTCTACATGGCCTAAGCACCAACGGTAGTGAACAAAAGCACCAGAGAAAAGGCTTTCTTAAGCCTCGCTGCCAGGAGACAGATGGACATCAACCACCTTGTCCTAAACACCTTTGTTGAAGCCCCTCCTCTACCTGCTCCTACCATTTAGGACCTGACTCCTCCGATAACCCCTCTGAGTGGGGTTCACAGACACCAATGTACTCTTCCGCTCTAGCCTGCTCTCATTAATGGATCTGTGGACAATATGAAGGGAGTGGCCAGATGCTGTTCTTTAGCATTTTTTGAGGGGTAGCCAGCCCTTGTCAAAACAGGGAGAACCAGAGTCTTTCCAGCAATGTCTGGCAGCCACAGCTGAGGCCTGTTTTTCTGACCCTACTACTTCACAGTAGTGAGGTGTACAAGGTATCTTGGCAGGAAGGACTAAGGGCTATGTCGGGGTAAAGCCTCGGGGGCTCCAGGTATGCAGGGAGAATGGCCTTAGCTCCTGGCCCTATAGGGCCTGCTGCAGGTGGCTAGGTTGACTCATGGCTCTGGGAGTCACCTCACTCTGACAAAGAGAAGGCACCATAGAGGCGGGTACTCCCCCATTTCCCCACACCAGCATGTCACGCCTGTGGGGGAGACAGGAGTTGGGGGAGGCAGAGAAGAAAGAGCATCTGGGGGAGGGCAGCCATTTTCGGAAGCGGCATTAGCAGTCTGAGAGGGAGATGGGGTGGTCTGCCATCTTTTCCTCAGCCCACACTTTCTTTACCCCTGGATTGAAAGAAACCTAGAACAGCAACAGGGTGCCAGAAAACTCCAGCAGGTTCTAGGCAGAGGGGCAAGTGGCATAGCCTACAAGCCCGCCCACCTTTTGTGGTCCTTTCATTACCTCTTCACCACTGCCAGCTTCCTCCCTGGCATCCACCTGCTAGCTATTCTCGACCCATAATTCTCTTGCCTCCACAGACACAGGGCAAACTCTCGGGACCTGCCTCCTTTCCCACCTTTCCACCCTCCTTCCCTCTCCCTCCCCGCAAGCCACGTGGCAGAATGACAAAGGAGCACCATGGCATGGCTCTGTCTTTGATGAATGAGGAATATGTTGGGGTAGAGCTAGGAATGAAAAAAATAAGGATAAAGAGCGAAAGGGACTGTCAAGGACAGGGAGGAGCGGGTACTGACAGAGGGCATGAGAGATGACAAAGGAAATGGCCGAAGTGGAAAATAGGTGACCAATGGCTTGAGAGGGAGAAGGGAGGAATTGAAATATCGGAGATGGTGTGGAAACAAAGAGTTTGAGACAGATGAATGATATGGGGGACAATTCATTCAAACGATCAGGTGGGGTCAAAGGATGTCACAGGGTGAGATGAGGATGCAAGGGAGGAAGGAGGGAGGTAGTGCAGGGAATGGCTGATGTGGAGAATCGACTCGGCATGGGTATGAGTGCCCTTCTCAGGAGGGACTTACCGAAACTTTACAAACCCATTCAGCGTCCACGCTCGAAGTTTTAAGGGCTCCAGCTGAATTTTAAACATCAAGCTGGCTAAGAAGTCTTCTCCCCAGAAGTGTGGGAAGCTCCGGAAAGCTCCTCGAGCCTGTAGTGGGGGTGCTGCTGAGGGTGGGCAGGAGAGCACTGTGCGCTTAAACATGCCCAGCCAAGCCCCTCACCTCTGATCGCTCCACCGGAGCCTGCTTGGGACGCTGTAGCTCTGGCAGCCACCTCCTCAGATTCTCAGAGGCCCTTGCCCAGCAAGGCCTGTCCCGTGCCGCAGGAGCTGGACCTGATCCCCAGGTGCGGAGTGGAGGGAGAGGGTCCAGCGGCCACCTGCTCTCAGGTACAGCAGTGTCTGGCTGAATGTGAGTGGCTGTATGGCTGTGTGACAGTGAGGCTGGAAGTGACAGTATGTGCTTGTAGAGTGGCAGCGTGTGTACCTGTGACAGGTGTGATAGTGAAGGCCTGAGAGGCAGTGAGCTCCTCTCGCCTCTCTGGGGAGGACCTAAGTCCAATCTCCAAGAATCTACTCAATGAAGTCACTGACGGGGAGTCTCCTCCTCCGCAGATGGGCGGGGAGGGGAGGGGCTGAGCCGAGCCAGGCCCGGACAAAAGGCGCGGCGGGGAGAGGAAGGAAGGGGGTTCGGGCGGGGGAGGGGGTCGGTGATGTCACCCCAGCTGGCTGGCTGGCCTGCTCAGAAACGCCTCTGCCCGGGGCAACCCAATCCGACCCGACCCAGCCCGACCCTCGTCGCAGACACCCAGCACCTGGCAGACCCCAAGCTTCCAGGCCCCAACACCCCTATGGCAGAGGAGGCTATGGACCCTCGGTGTCCCCTGTCCCCCCCCCCTCCGGCTCCGGACCTGTCTTCTCGACGCCCCACTCCCGGGACCCCCGAGTCCTCGCTCAGCGCCCTCACCGGTGAGGAGCTGCGGGCGCCGCCGCGGTCCTTCTATCAGCCGCTGCCCCCTCCCCCGGCTCCGGCTCCGCCGCCTCCACTCGGGACAGGAGTCGCCTGCCCGCCGGCCGCAGACAGCGGGACCGGGAGCCCGCCCCCACGGCTCCGCCTCCGGGCTTCCCATTGTACTGTCTTCCCGTCACTCAGCTCAGACTCTGCTATGATTGGACATCTCTCAACGAGCGTCCGGGTGATAGCCACCCCTTCTCCGCCCCTGTCACCCGGCCACACGCGCACACATTCCGGGCAGTGATTGGTGTGGGTGTGATTGGTGCCGTCCGGAATCAATCAACCACACCTCTTCTCCATCTCGTCATGTCATTGGTGAAAAGGACAGAGGGCGTCAACTCCAGGCGCCCTTTGATTTTATTGGCTCATCCCTGTGACTTCGACCCAAGTCAGCCGGGCAACTATATTAGTCCAGTTTCCAGTATGAGGTGAGCCGTGCTGGCAACTGCTTCAGTCCAGGGAGAACCTTCTGGAATGAGTTCGGCCTCAAAGACCACCTAATAGGAAAACTGCGTTCTCCACTTGGCGGTGACACCAGTCATTCTTTCCTTTCTTCATTTAGGAGAGTCGAAGGATAGAGAGCGGGAATAGTGCACTGGGGGAGGTGTAGCCTCTCTTCTTACCATTTAGCAAATTGTGAGCCAACCTGACCTGGCCTGGTTTCGCCTTACTTTGTCTTGTTCTAAGGTTGACCTGACATGGCTTAACGGTAGCACGAAACAGACCAAGACAGACCTGAGAGTCTGTGTGCCCTTGCTACCTCCTCTCTGCACACTATAGTAACTGGTAACTCCAGGAGTGACACCTTCGTGAGTCTCTGTCCAGCTGCCTTCCGTCTTCCGTGTAGACCTTTCTCGCTGGCTGTTGACTCTCTTAGGAGCGGCCACTTCTCAGCTACTTGGAGTCCACAGAGCCCCTTATAATCAACCTTTCATCTTTGTCTTTAACTTCTTTTTCTTGCCCCCATGATACCCGTCCTTCCCTCATCCCAACATTCTGTCTTTTTATGTATCTTCCTTACTTTTTTCTTTTGTCTTATTCTTAATTTATCTCCCTATTTCTGTGGTCTGCAATATCACAGCTCATGGCTTTCCCTTTAACCCTTTACCTCAGCTTCTCATGGTCCCCTTTCTTAACCCCCCCATACACTGTCACCTCTGCTCCCCCAACCCCCCAGTAAATCATTAAATCTCAGCCCCAGTGTCCCCGATACTCAGAGCAGGCGGGGCTGCGGAGGCGGTCGCCAGCGGAAGCCGCCGCTCCAGCAGACACTGAGCTTGGCGCCCACGTTACTGTCTCCCAGGCCCATCTGTGCTGGAGGGAGCGGGGGTGGGAGGGGGTAATCTGGGGGTGAAGAGGGGGAAGGGTTCTTGGGAGATTTAGTGACAAAGAAAAGGCCTGAGAAAATGCTCTCGTCTCTCATTCTTTGACAGTTTCAAGAGACAGATTTAGATACCTAGGAGGCAAAGCAAGCTGGATAGAACTGTAAACTGAGGCTTGGACTATCTAGGCCACAGGTTAGAGCAGGAGAGGGGTCTGGGGATTTGGAGGCAAGGTCTACATATTCTTAACTACCTGTCTCTTCCCGTTGTGCCACCTGGGACTCTTGAGTGTAAAGGAATTTGAGTAAGAAAAGGAATGAGGGTGGGAAGAGGAAGCGGGGTAGAGGAGTGATGAAGGAGGGGAGATGGCATGTCAGTTTGGGAACAAGCAGGTATCTGGCTGAAGGAGGTGGGATGGGAACTGGAAAGGGGCCAGAAGAAGATAGGGTGGGAGGCAAAGAGGAAGTGAGGGGTGAGATGAAGGTGAGATAGGCTGGGGCGGAGATTGTAGGAGCAACAAAATGGGACCGAGAGACCAGAGGGGGAAGAGTGAGGAGGAAGGGATGAGGCAGCGATGAGGGGATGAAGCAGTGTGGCATGGAAATGGGCAACGTGGGAAGAGGGGCCTGGGAGTGGTACTGCCTCCTAGGATTTGGGGACCCTCACTATTCTTCCTCCTGACTTAGGGACCCCAAGAGCCCGCAGCTATGTTCCTTTCTAAATCGAGGTCTGCCTCTTGCTGCTCCTAGCCTTGTCCATGTCAGCACAGAGGCTGAGTTGCATCACCTGGCTCTGCCCCTGCTAAACTTCAGGGACTCTAGGTTTGTGTCCTTAGGAGTGAGATCCAACTCTACTGTCTGTATCACCACCGTTGCCTTCTGACCCACTATCCAGGGCATCTGAGCAAAGTGTACAGCGCAGCATGGACTCTAAGAACCTGAGTGCTGAAGTCGGTGAGCCTGTTGACCTTGGGAGACCACTCGCCCCTTTTGCGCCTCGTTTGTTCTTGGCAACTTGGCCAAGCAACAGTGGAAGCTCACAGGGCTTTTTCAAGGGTTAATTAAGGTGACACATGTAATAATGGTCTTCGTTCTGAGCTTGGCATGTGATTAATATTCAAATTAACTCTTACTGTGTGTTCAGGGCTATCTGTGTGTTGTGAGAGTGTGAGTGTGTCTGATTGGGAGTTATTTACTGTTATAATCATAATTCCATTGTAAGGGTGTATCTGCACAATTAAATGAATCATACATGTACAGGCAAGTGGCTATATGATGAAGAGGGGGGAAGTATGTGGCTACTGACACCATTTCTGCCAGTGTATGTACCCATCTGTGATCATGTTGGCTCCAAACACCCCCGCTTGTCCTCTCCGCTCACGGAGACGTCATAACCCTAGGTGTCCCTCATTTCCTCACCCTGAGGGAACCGGAACCTGTGGGCAGGGGGTGGGGGTGGGTATCAGTGAGGAGGTGTTTGAGCAGGAGCACATGTCCCCTCCCAGACTATGTATGGAAGGGGGAGCCCCCTATCTTGCACATCCCAAATCCTCCAGAGGAAGTGCTTCCCCCCCTTGGCCTGTTCCTAGTTCCCTGTCTTGTCACCATGGCAACAGTTGCCAGGAGCTCCCATGGTTGCTAAGATATGGGTGTGGGAGGATGCCAGGCCCTGTTGCTAGTAGAAACAGAATCCTGGAGGCAAGGAAGACTACCCCCACAACTGCCAGCTCTATGCAGCGACAGCACTGGCTCTTGGGCTGCCCCTTTCCCCAAATTGAACCTATGATTCATGTGTGGTAGTGTGGTGTGTGAGGAGCCTACAGTATGAATCTGGGACTGCAATGTCTTCTGAGGAGAAAGGGGGATCCTCAGTCTACCCCACCGCCATGTTTAAAGCCAGCAACTCCTTAGAGAAACTAGAGGTTGCTTTCTTCTGTTTCTCGTCTTCCCTACTGGTCCCCTGGGTCGCATCTATGTCTGGGGCTCTCCAGTGACTGGCTGCTCGTCATCAAGTGATGTTTCACCTGGCCATACGAATGCTGCTTTGAATGCAGACTGACTCCTTCCTGTGGTCAAACTCTTAGCATCTCATCTGATGCTAAGTGCTTTGTGCTGACGTATGAACATAGATTTGGTCCCACACTGAGTCCCAGCTTTGGCACCTGCTTGAGACACTGCCTCTAGCTATAATCTTGGCCAAAGCAATTCTTTGACTCCAGCCTCAGCCTTGGCTTATTTCCTAGACATAGTTAAGCCCTAATTTTAATGCTAGACACATGAACTTATTGTCATTGTCACTCTTGTCTTTTTCACTGACTGAGCACTGGCCAGCGATTTAACTCCCTGGTACTCGCTGGCACCTCCTTGAGCTTCGAGGCCGAAAGTGATCATTACCTTTGGGGTTTGAAAGATTTAATTTCTCACTTTAGGAGGAGATGGCAGTTCTAGGGATGGCCAGCAGAGGGCGAATAGCATAAGAGTCTCAAGGCAAGCTTCCAGGAGCCTACCAGTGAACTAAAGAAGTTTTAGGTTTTTGATACCTAAACTTTAAAGTCATGTGACTGCTTGAACTTACACACCTATCTTCAGATCAGCTTGGATAAGGGCTGGGAAGGTGCTTAATGTGGACTGGCTCCTCAGGTGTCAAGAGGACTCAGTACCTTGCCAGGTATCACTCTCAAACTCAGCACCTTTGTCGAATGTTTTGATGGCTTCACTGCCTCTCCTGGTGGTTAGTTGTCCTTCATTCACCTCCCAGCTAGCCTCTGTCCTTGAGACTCCTCCAGCTTTATAGATCACATTGCCAAATCCCAGCCATCTGCACCACTCATGCCCACCCTCTCCAGGACTCAGGCCTTCATGGCCTTTTCATCTGCCATGT